CACCGCCGAGCACGTGGTAAATCAGCACTTAAAATTGCAATTAACAATTTCATTGGTGCCGGCGGGGATCGAACCCGGTTTACTCGCGTACTGTGAAATTTACAGCGAGCGCTAACGGAAAACCCAACGGAATAGTAAGCTGGAGTAGCGATGGGCCAGCCATATAGTTCGAAGAACCGACAACTCTTACCGCTAGGCGAACTAGATGGAGTGGAGGGCCCCCACTAGATGGAGTGATGATCTCGTAATATATGCAAGAAGTCAATCGATACAGGTGGCTCAGAACCGTACTTTGTGGTGTTCGTTGAAGGAACGCCTATGTTTAGCATTGGACTTGTGAAGGGCTGTATTGAAATGAAATTATGAAAAATCAATACAAATAATATTTATTTTTATATTGAATAAAAGTTCAACGTTTGCAAACGGATATCTACCCGTTATTTATCTGTCTCTGCCAGAGCTACCTCGTTTTTTTCTTAAGCACAGATAAAGAATGCATCTACACAAGTGATGAGATCCTCTTTAATGTAAAATTATTGTCCTTACAGTAATCAAAAAACAAATTAAGGCTGTTCAATTTAGTAAGTCAATTTTGTCATGGTACGGCAGCGGTAATTAGTCTTACACCAACCATTTTCGTCCCTGTGCAATAACTAAGAAATATTTCATGCTTAGATAAGCCAACGATGAGTTCATGCATAATTAAGCTGAATAGATTTTATCGACTTCTATTTAAATTACTAGTTGGTACCCGGAGCGTTGCGGACGCAGAAAAACTAACTGTGGATATATATATAGATATGACAAAAAAATTAATATTTAAAAACTGAAGGTTGTCGGACTAACTATGACATTGGGACGTCAAACATCTCAGTCGTCGTCCCCCAGTGATCATGGGTGCTGTAAGGGTGCTTTACAGCACCCATGATCACGAAACGTCGGAAATTAAAAATAAGTTAAAATAGTTAATTAAACGCGATAAAATCCGTAAATATAGTTTTATTCAATGTGGAAATATCGTTTTAAATTTGAAATAATTGTATTGTTTAATTAGAAATGTTAATACATTCATTGATGTTTAATGATAAATAGCTTTCAAATACATAAGTCAGTACGATACGCGCGCATCCTACGGTAAGTTAATCCTTCGTGCAAGCGCAAAAATAAGTTGAAAAAGTTTTAGCGCAATCTGATGAACGGTATGTCAGCGCATAAAATACAATCAAACAAATATTAATTTTCATGTATTAGATAACAATATTATAAAATCTATTCTTGTAGGACACGCCAGTAGCAATATGGTAATTATCACGTTGTTCATTAGGGGCGTCCATTATTTACTTAAGGTGATTTTGGCGATTTTTCTACTGTCCCCTTGGTCATGAGTTATGCCTCGACACCCCTCACCCCCCCCATCAAAACTCACATGAGATTTTTCAAAATCCGTATTAATGCTTTGACAATCAATATTAATTTTACGAATACCTTTAATAGTTTTAATCAACTATCTGCATCATGCAATAGCTGATATTTAGAAATAATGACCATACAGACCTTGTTTACCAGCGTAGACTCCCACGATTTCAATACATTTTGAAACTAATCGAATAGTATCACGATATTTGGACATTCTACTAAGGCTAAGGCAGAGTTAATAAGGCTAATTAACTTCAATTAACGACAACGTGTTCAAGGAATTTTCAGGTTGGACGTACACAAGAATAACACTTCCTTTTTCAACCCTGTTGTTAAAATGTGCCGTGATTACGACGAGATTAAGCATAGTAACGTACATCTAGATATATTCGATAGTAGCCTGGTTACATTTAAAAGAAATTTACGTGTTTCACTTAACATTTAATGAATTTGTTATGTGTTTTATTTTTGCTAAGACTAAGATTATACTGCAGTTATTTTGTTACGCTGTGTACACTTTTTTAAATTGTAGTTTAGATCAATACAAATATACTTTTAATTTTAGACCTTTATATAACTACTGTCTGTTTGTGTACCTTATTCAATAAAATAAAAACAAAATTATTTACTTAAGGTGGTTTTGGCAATTTTTCTACTGTCCCCTTGGTCATGAGTTATGCCTCGCCCACCTCACCCCCCCCCCCACATCAAATCTCACGTGAGATTTTTCAAAATCCGTATTATTAGCTTTGACAATCAATACTTAATTTTACGAAAACTTTTAATAGTTTTAATCAACTATCTGCATCATGCAATAGCTGATATTCAGAAATAATGACCATACAGACCTTGTTTACCAGCGCAGACTCCCACGATTTCAAGAAATTTTAAAAGTAATCAAATAATATCACGATATTTGGGCATACACAGTTATAAGAAATCTCAAGATATTATGTCAAATAAAATAAACTAGATAATGAAATCCTATAATATAATTGTTTTGGTTTTGACATTACCTATGTACTTATGAATTTGTTATTTATTTTACATTTATTTATTTTTTATTATGAAAAAATTCTCAAGCAAAAGGAATTACAAAGGGATTTCTCAATGCATTATTGCGTTAACTCGGATAAAGTATCATATCATGATTTATCCAAGGGCATTAACGTCGACGTATTATTGTCAAAATATACCAAAAAATCAAGTAAGCGGTTACATACACAAAAACATTTACTATAAATATTATTAATATAACTTAAATAAATTCACCATTGAAGAAACAACATATAAAGCCGTGTACTAAACATAAAATATTATCATTAATTTATTTATTATAAAATCGTAATAATTAGTTACATTCAAACCATACTTTTCGGTCACACATAAGACATATCAATCATAAAACATTTATTGTAAAAATACATTAAAAATAACATAATAATTGATAAGGAAGTGCTTGTGAGCTTTTTTTAAAATAACCATTTATCGTCAAATTAAAAAAATAATAATCTTGATTTAAAATCTGAAGTAATAAACTTATGCCCAAAGACTGAAACGCTGAGGAACCTTGAGCTACACTTACACAATTAAATCATGACGTTTCTATACAATTTAACGATTTTCAATCGGCTATAACGAATGTCATAATTTAAGGTACTTCCTTTGTCAAGTGAAATTTTAATGCTGACTGTTAAGTACTTAAGAAAGAAATTACAGCAGGCTTTGGTCATCGGTTGTGATCGAGTCCGCTCTCGATTTGCGGTTACGTCGATTAAACGGCTTGCTGTCACACGCGGTCAAACCAGTTAGAAATGCTGCCGACGTTACAGGAGTTCGCAGGCCAGTCCTTACAAGTTAATGTGAGAGATTTTATTTTATTTCTACACTGTCTAAATGGTCGCTAAGTATGCTATCACAATTTTTTTGGTTTTTTTTAAGGGTGACAAACGAGTACACAGTCAACCTGATGGTAAGTGATTGCTGTGGCCTATAGACATCTACATCTATCCTCTATTACAAATCAAAATGCAGATGCGTTGTCACCCGTGAGGACTAAGATGGAATGCCTCGTTTCCAGTAAAAATGGTCTCCGGTTCTCTACACTCACCCTACGAATCACAGCTGCATTAAGCTATTATTTTACGCTGGTATTCTGGGACAGCGTGGTCCTTCCCCCGTCGAGCCAACCCATTCGTGCTACAAGTACAACTATACTACTAAGGTAACTGCAGCATGAGTCTACCACGTAAAAAAACTTGCGTCTAAATTAATAATTAGTATCATTAATTCTAATAATATCTAAGTATTCGATAGTAAATAATGACAGAGTAAGTCATTAGCATCATAAAATACAGACGACCGTGACGTCAAAAAAATTTCTATGATAGTAGCCCTAACCTTCACTTGTCTTTTCGACCGAATTTTAGTCAGGGTGGCCAGTCTCAAATCTCAGTAGAGACTAGAACTAGTATAGACTAAAATAAATATCGATATGTATTTATTTTGATAGCCTATATCATTAGCAAATTTGCATAATTAACAAAATCATTACAGTAAAAAAGTATGTGTCCGCCTGACCGATCGGATTACTAAAGCTACTGACATGAAATTTTGTCGAAGTACCGTAAATCAACACGCTATTTATGTACACGTATTTCGCAATAGGTTATTCGTTCGTTTTACCAAGAATTCGCGCAAACAAGTGTCGAAAACACGAAGAATTATATAGAAAAATTCTGAAAATATTATTTTATAAAGTGTAACATAATGGTAAACATTTAACACAACAAAAAGTTCACCATTTTAACTATTATCTCTACATAGTATAAAACAAAGTCGCTTCCCGCCGTCTGTACTCTTAGATCTTTTGAACTACGCAACGGCTTTTGATGCGGTTTTCATCAATAGACAGAATGATTCAAGAGGAAGGTTTATATGTATAATTACATGCATATGTTGTCAAAATCCAAAAATCACCCGTGCTAAGCCGGGCGGATCGCTAGTATACCTATAAATAATGATGGAAGGATGAAGAAGGATGGTAAGTGGTTGCTGTGGGCTATACACATCTGCATGTATCCTCGATTACGAATCACATTGCAGATGCGTTGTCATCCGTGAGGACTTAGGTGGAATGCCTCGTTTCTAGTAAAAAGGGTCTCCGGTTTTCTACACTCACCATATGAAACACAGCAGCATTTAGCTACTATTTGACGCTGGTATTCTGTGAGAGCGTGGTCCTTCCCCGGTCGAGCCGACCCATTCGTGCTACAAGTATATTACTAATATAACTGCAGCATGGCTCTACCACGTGTAAAAATATATTATATTATTAGTTATTAGTTATTACAAACTTGAAAATATCGTAACAGTACTGTAGTTGAAAATCGATTTATTTATAGAAGAAGGGTCTTACAGGCGTGGGTTCACCTTATGGTGAGTCACCACGGCCCATGGACATAACATCGGTGGTATTCTTAATATTTCCAAGTTACGTACTGCTAAAGAAAATGTTACCTCGCCAAAAACATGCGGCTAGATGGAAAATACAGCAAACAAAAATAGTAATAATATTTTCTCACCTCAGGTGGGGCAGCAAATTTTAAGTTGGCGAGGGAGCCGTGCGATCGACTTCTATGTTCCTGTCTTATGCTGTACGAAAAAGCTCGCTCATTCAAATGACCTTTCTTTCTATAAATTCCACCGGCGTCTTCTACGGCTTCCAATCCAGTCATACTTTGAGCTGCTTTCATAGACGGCGGGGGCGGTTTCGAACGACGTGGGTCAACGGTGGCGTACTGTAGACGGCCTCTTCCAGGTGGAGGGACAGCAGGGAAAGGACCAGGAGCCAACGCAGCTGGTACTCGACCTCTGTGACCTAATGTTGCCGGTCTAGCATGAGGTAAAGTCGCCGCGGGATGCGCAACCAAAACCATAGGATGCGCGGCCGCCCAAGCAGGGGGTGCTCGACCTAATGATCTACCATTCATCATCGGAGCTGGTCCCGGCATAGTAGCATACAATTCATCCGCAGACGCAGATGATTTCTTTTTATTTTTCTTTGTGGTGGACTTCTTTTTCGGTTCTTCTGGTGGTGGCGGCGGTGGTGGCACGGATGCGGGTCGCGTTATCTGTCGAGGTCGCGGCGCTCTTGTCGCATGCGGTATATCATCACTTGCGTCATCTCGCTCTACTTCTCCGATCCATACTTTATGATTTTCATCTCCATCGTACACTTCGAGCTCCTCTTCCGGCTCTGGGGGTAGCTGTGAAGGCGACCGTTCTGCCTCCAAACGTTTCGCATACGAGCTATCGGCGTAAGCGTGGAAACAACAACGAACAAGCGCGTTAGCTGCCGCTTCACGGCGGCATATAAAGGCATGACATTCCAAAACTTTTATACCTTGCGTTCGACGCAGAACAGCCGCGAACAGGGGTGGCCGTCGAGGAGCTGGTGCTCTGGCAAACGGAGAGTCCAATGGCAAAAATCGCGGCGCACCCTCAACACTTACGCGGCGAACAGCTGCACAATAATGCAAGCTCGATATGGGAAAAAATCTCGCAACTCGCGATCCGCTCTCATCAACATTCTCCAGCAAAATTCCGTTGGACCAAACTGACAACCACGAATCTATTCCACCACTGGTCGCGCCCTTTTCCGGATATAACTCGCGTAAGGGCTCTTGGATTCCTTGCAAACCGTCTTTACTCTGCTGTGGTACCGCCGAGCCCAGGTATAGAACACGGCACCGACATATCGGCGTCGACTCCATTTTGACACTGCACTATCACATGACACTAAATCACTTTTGAAGACACTGCTATTGATAATTGGCTATTTCGTCGCTCGTGGCGTGTACGTGCGCTGGCCGCGAGACGGGCGCGGGTCTGAGTGAACGGAATTCAAGATGGCCGGGCAACAAGTCGCAAGAGGGGGAAGGGGGTCGCGGGGCGCAGGCCTATACCTGCGCTTACGCACCTGTGAAGACGTTCTACGCGGGCTGTAGGATAGGTAGGCGTGTAGCGATGAACCGGCATTGTGTCAAATAAATCGTCGCGAATTTGGCCACAATTTCTTTTCCCCGACGCGTCATCACATCACAGACAGACGTGAAAGAATGTCACACTTTTATATTATACTTAGTAGTGAAAACTGCAGGTCGGTGGGCCAAAGGGAGATAATTGTGTCTTCCATTGCAAATCGAAACGTCCGGGACATTTTTCTTTATAGTAATGCCTCCGATTCCACTTAAATATTTTACATTATAAGACTTTCTTCGCGCTCCATAAAACTGAAGCAGCCTTTTAAAATAGCGTACATTTCTTGCAAACTGGTTAATTTTACATTAACAAATGCATTGGAATGCGGAATAAATATGTTACACTATACTAATTACCTGCGCGAACGCAATAAACATATTTTTATCCAAACGCCTTCATTAAAACATGTATTACTCAATGACAAACTGCCAAGTCAATTAGTCAATTACTCAACAGTATCTACTTAACGGTTAGAATTATAATAAAAGTATGTTTAAATCTGAGTTTAAAAAAACATTTAAATAAAAAGTAGTTTAATGTTGCTTCTAAGAAATCCATTATACAACAAAAATTTGTTTGGGAAGATAAGTCAAACTAAAGAAAAATATATGTAATGATAAATTATAAGGAAAATGGCATACTCTTGTGAACGACGAAGTGACGGAGCCAAGGAAAACTAACCGAATTCTATCAGCATTCTAGCAGCATATATTATTCGACAAGGATATTACTACCATAAGAAGCGTTGATTCTTTTTAGCTTTGTCTTTGAACTTTGAACAATGTTATCGTATTAACAACAATTTCGTTAATGCCGGAGAGGATTGAACCCGAGCTGCTCGCGTGCTGTGAAATTTACGGCGAGCGGTAAACCGCTAAGCTACCATGGCTCAATATATTGCCACAATATTCAGCAAACAATCATTAAAAACTTTTAAAAAGTGCCAACCGATTTTTATTTCACTTTCCATGTACATATTCAATAATTGTATTTTTTTTTTGTATTCTCATCTGGTTTGAATACTACATAAATACGTTCATAACTTAGTAGTACCCAGCGCGTTGCTGCCGCAGAAGAAATAATTGTAGAAATATCATTATAAATTTGTAAGAGTTATATCGTTTAATTAGGAAGGACCCAACTATCAATGCCACTTTATAAAAACAGAAATGTGGGCCGCCTCTGGACTTAAAGTTAGCACTCAGGCCATTCGGAATTGCTTACACCTAGCTCAACTACGAGCACGGCGGTCTTGGCGAGCACCTCTAAATTCACGTCAGCAACGGAGATTGCAGTGGACTAGGCTCCGGCAAAATGAAGAAGATGAGAAAGAAAACATTTGGCATAACTGTCTCTTCGTTGACGAAAAAGAAATAACAAGAACTTTGCTACAAATGATCACCTAACCGAATATATTCAAACATTTTCCCAAACGTTTTTCTTCATGAGAAAATGTCTACGCATACCCGCTCACGAGAACAAGTACAGGTAATGTCGGACTTGCACCAACTAAAACCTATTGATGTTTCATACATACTGGCAAGGCCACGGAAACGCTATCACAAATATATCACTAGGCTTCCTGACCTGGAGGATACGAAAGGTTATGAAAGTGGCACATCGCAATACTGGCACTCTTCTCGCCCATACCCATCACCGCATAAGTTATAATTATAAGGCCCCACCATCTCGAATCAGTATTCATCCAATTAACCGACGTCTCCGTGTCTGGAGAAGACCTGGAGACTCTGAAAGGCAAAGAACTGCCACTGGAACCGTTCAGCAAGACGGGAAATCGGTGTCCTTTTGGGGTGAAATTATGATTGGAGCTAGAACGCCTTTAATCCCGTATCGAGGCTCCATGACTGCAGATAGGTACAAAACAGTCGCTATTCATGGAATCGTCAGACCATTTAGAGTAAACCGTGGGCACTAATTCATACTAAAGCTCGAGCTCAAGGAGTCAATATTGCTCTTCGATAATAGGACATCACAAGGTTAGACCGGCCTGCCAGCTCGTCTGACTTAAATAAGGTATGCTATTTTAAATAAGATATAACATAAACACTTTTTCTTTATAAAGTTAAATTAGATAGTGATCACAAACTTTTTTGATGTGTATATAATTGTGTCTTACTCACGCCCGACAAAAGGCTGTTAAGCATTTTGGTCAAGCGTGCGTAAAACACATAGCAAACTGGCTGTTTCATACTCGCCTCATCAATTCCCATGTTCTGTGACACACCCAGGTATGTATATATCGGTATGTTTCAGCATCGGAAAGGGACCTAATGTTGATGGGAATAGATAAGTTTATGCTCTCTTTTCAACATAGAGGACCGCACGTTTATCTGTTCCCATCTCCATTCTGATAGAGTTGCTAAAATTACAAGTGATATTTAGCAATTCCACAAGATGGGAACGACTGGAGGCGAATAAGTTGAGAGCATTCATACAGAATGGTGGCGACCATGGTAACGGCAGGGCAGGGGACGCTAAGTCTTCGATGTAGGTTCGGTAGCCACCTAAGACGTCTCGACCTGGCTACATATAACGCAAGCACCCTGAGGACTGACGAGAAGATCGTGGAGCTGATATCGGAGGTCCGAAGAGAGGGGGAGAACACGTTAACGAATCCGAAGTCGTGCGCCGGCAGCCGTAGCGAGCGGACGCGTTCTAGCTCGGAGTTCCGCGCATCGAGCCGCACACCGCCGCTCAGTCGCCGCCATATTGCCTACGCCCACTTTGACGTAACTGCGCGCCAAGATAGCCGTTGGAGTGGAAATTTCCGTGTAATAGAGTGACTTTAAGTTGAAATATGGATATTTCGCAGCCCGGGGGCTCGATCCCCCGGGCTACGATGGCCCAAACTGGGCGATTAAGTGAATCTGGTGCAATTATGGACACGGACAGTGCAACAAATAGTGAAATAACGGACAATGGCGTCAAGATGATTTGGGACCCGATTTCCATGAAGGAAAAATTAGTTAAATGTTATAAGTGCCTAAGCGACATCAGATGGGACGCTCTCACCTGGGGTGCCACCCAGGCGAATACTAAACTAGTAAAATGTGAACACTGCAAGCTAGACCTCCTAATGAAAGCTGCGGTGAGCACAAAAATAAGAACTAACGTACAAAGCGTAGAACTATTTAGTGAAATGACCATAAGCCAATTAGACTTTAACTCGGAAGAGCACTACAGATGCATAAACTATGGTAGTGACCAATGTGCAAGAATCAATCCTAAAACTGCACTAAAAAGTATAAATAAAGTGAAGAAAACGAAACGCGGGAAACGCGGTGGCGGTGGAATATTCCTCAGCGCCGCGGCCGCACCCGGCGTCGGTGCAAAGTCCAACGCTGCAGTTCCCCCCACCGCACCTGCGCGCGTCACGTGAGCGCCGTCGCTGTTGCTGTGCCGCAGTCACGTACGCCACGAATGTTCGAGTTCGAGGGTGTGGCCCCGCCCTGCGCGCCACTAGGAGAGCAGAACGCGCGAGAAGCGAGCGCGCAACAGTGTGAGCGAGACGGAGTCACGATGCTCCGCTCACCGCATCACCCTACCGCCGCGCGGTCAAACATAGTGAAAGACAATGAGAACATGACACAAACGCATCGCGCGATTGCCCATATAAGGAAACTACAAGCAAACGTGGCGCCGAGCGTGCCGCTACATAATAAATTCAGTCTATTGGACGGTATGGAGAACGATACACCAGCGGCAGAACAATGTAGCGTAGCAACTAATTTAAATAACATAAGCACAGAGGATAATACTGCATCAGATGCTATGAACAAAGGGAAAAGACCGCGACCTAGTTCGTCGAATGAGGACAACAGGGTGGTCCAAAAAAGGAAAGAATTAAGAAGACACACATCCCGGTCATAACGATAAGAGATGAAGACCTCTGTGCCAATACCCAGGCACTCACAGCTGTAAGACAGGTGACATCAGCCACTAACTCAAAAATTACATTGGCTGCGAAACAGATACACATCGCACCATCATCCATAGAAGCGAGGAGAGATATCCTCAAGAAAATTGAAGAACTCAATCCAGCCAGAGTGATAGCCCCTAAACCCATGGGGGAGAGGAACATGACGACCAAGATCACCATAAAGAATGAAACTTTAGGAGAAACGGTGGAGGCGATTGCAGAGGATATCAACCGATGCATCGGGATTACACCGCTGACAGTCAAACCAATCGGCAAATCAGGCAGACTACACCTACTGCTCTTTGAAAACAAATACACCGTGAGACATATTCTACACGCCTTTGACACGTTGCAGAGGACTATCTTCTGCGCGAAGAAGCACAAGGCTCAGCCATACATGGAGAATTTAGCTTATATTAACCAGTGTAAGAATTGTTATGCCATCGACCATACGAAGCACTCGTGCTACGGCACCAAAAAGGATCCAACCATATTCACGGTCACAGCTACGGGAGCTACCATCACGGTATGCTCCAACTGCAAACACGAGGGGCACGGAGCCAACCAGGTTAACTGCCCAGAAACAGCTGGCCATCAGAGAACGAGTCCTGCTGAACGGCCAGGCCAAGGCCAAGGTAAGATCAGAGGCTGCGCGGGTCAGGAAGGAGACTACTTTCGCACAAGCTCTGAGAAGCAACAAGGAGTTCCCGCAGCTGGGAGCCTCGAGAACTTCAATCGCCGCTGATGAAGAGCTCGGCCCTACGCCTCCTTCACCACCAAAACAGACAGCACTGACTGCGTCCACCGACCAGCCGAACATGGACATCCTGCTGGCCATCCTCCAGCGCATGGACTCTGTGGTAGCTGAAGTAAACAACATGAGAACAGAAATGAACAGCCTGAATACAGAACTACTCATAATCAAGAGAGCCAAAACTGCAACCACTGTTAATGGATAATAGACAACCTGCGGAGACAAAGAAAATAAGAAGTGTGAACATATTACATCTAAACGCGCAAAGTATGCAAAAGAAGTTCAATGAGATTAAAAATCTGGCACAGAATCACCGACCCTCGGTGATCGTGATCAATGAGTGCAGGATAAACTTCGAGACGAACAGATTCATTTCCCAGATTATGACAAGATCTATCACACTGCTGAACCACACGTGGTCACTGCCATGTACGTCCGGCGAGGCTGCCGCTGGGTTAAGATGGAGGGTGTCCCCGGGCTGGGGAGACGAACGACGCAACATCGAGGGAGTGGCCATTAAACTCTACACCAATCACTCAACAGGGGAGTACCTCAAAATCAAGTATCAAAGGAAGAAAATCAAGCGATCTGACCGTTGAGCTCGAGGAGACCCTACTAGACGAGCCATCCATCATCGTTGGCAATCTCAACCTGCGTATGAGAGAACCTCTACACTCAAGAGATAGAGGTCTGGGAGTCACAGTCAGGGACGCAATTGCTCAAGGACTGTGCTATCTGGTGAACACTGGCCTGCCCTCCAGACCAACCAGCGCAGGGGTGTCGATCCTGGACACCGCGATCGTCAGCCACCAGCAACTAGACTGTAGGACGAAACAACTGGAAGACGTTGGATCGGATCATCTTCCATGGCTACTCAACACCAATCACTCAACTGGGGAGTACCTCAAAATCAAGTATCAAAGGAGGAAAATCAAGCGATCTGACCGTTGAGCTCGAGGAGACCCTACTAGACGAGCCATCCATTATCGTTGGCAATCTCAACCTGCGTATGAGAGAACCACTACACTCAAGAGATAGAGGTCTGGGAGTCACAGTCAGGGACGCAATTGCTTAAGGACTGTGCTATCTGGTGAACACTGGCCTGCCCTCCAGACCAACCAGAGCAAGGGTGTCGATCCTCGACACCGCGATCGTCAGCCACCAGCAACTAGACTGTAGGACGAAACAACTGGAAGACGTTGGTTCGGATCATCTTCCATGGCTACTCGACGTGGCGCTCCCGTGTGATGTAGAGGAGTCTAAAATGAGGAACACCAAGAGGATAGCCGCCAACTTGGAACTGAGAAATCAGTACCAGGAGGCCCTGGGCAGACGCGCTGTGGAACGGCCGCCAGTTAAAATCAACACAGAGAAAGAGTGCGAGAGATACCTCGAGCGACTTGAGGATATTATCACCGAGACGCTCGATGAACTTGTTCCCCTTCATACACCGAACAGAAGAGAACTGCTTCCAGACAACATTAATGCTCTACTGGATGCATGAAGAAGAGCAATGAGAAAACTGAAGCATCGTGCGAGACTGGGCCAACTGATCGTCTATGAGGCGGCCAGAACATTATACAACAAGGCCAAACACGATGCCGCTAAGGCTTTAGCCGAGTATAAAGAGAATGACTGAATCTCCAAACTAGATGAGCCCAATGAGAATCGAGCCCAATCTAGATGTGGAGAATCCAGCAAAATCTCAAGAAACCGATAACCAGACTGCCCCATATCGCAGGATGCAACACCGAGGGGGAGACGGTAAACAGCCTGGTGGACGCTGCCATCGTTTAGACGGTGCACATCGACAAAGAAGACGAGGGAATGGAACACTACACTCCGTTCCAGCCGCTAGAGCCAACCTGCCTTGAAGAAATCAAGACCACTCTGGCAAAATTTAAGAATAAAAAAAGCGCCCGGCCCCGACAACATCAAAGCGGACGCACTGAAACTTGGTGGCAAGGTATTTCGGGAGACATACTTGCTGGTTGCGCAGTACGTGCTGCGGACTGGCTACTTTCCAACCAGATGGAAACTCGGCACCTGCATATTCATCCACAAGCCGGGTAAGAGCCACAAAGAAGCGAAGTCATATCGCCCCATCACGCTGCTCAACATCATGGGTAAGCTGATGGAGTGACTGATTCTCGCCCGCCTGAAGCCCACGGTTGAGAAGCTCCAGCCTCATTATCAACACGGATTCGCCAAGCTCCGTGGCACTGCAACTCAGATACTGCGCACCGGCAAAATCATTGCCGACGCCGTCAATGAAGGAAGGAGCGTGGCGATGGTATCGACGGATCTGTCCAAGGCTTTCGATGCCATCAACCATCAGGGTCTGGTGAAGAAGCTACAGAACGGCGACGTTCGCAACAACATCATAAAGATGCTAGAAAACTATCTAGCAGATCGTCGGCTGGTTGGGCGCTTCGGGACCACGCAGGCGGAAGAACACCGCATTCCGCATAGAGTGCCACAGGGCTCAATTCTCGGACCCGTAATATTCAATCTGTATGTGAGAGACTTGGGCAAGGACCATGGAACAGTGAGAGGAGAAAAATTATCGCAGTACGCCGATGATCTCTTCATTCTAAACATCTCGGACCCACCGACAAACCAGAATAGAGCAACCTCTGACCCGGACGTAGCCACCCGGCGCGTCGAATGGTCGGTGGAGGTAATAATAGATTACTATACGCGTTAGGGGCTACAGTGCAATGTGGACAAAACGGAGTATATAATGTTCACAAAGAAGAAAAAATATAGACCGTAAGTGCGACTAAAAGGTACCAAAATTCTGTACAAAACATCTATAAAATACCTCGGCGTGCAAATGGACAAACGACTGTCCATGAACGTTAACACCAACAATGTGGTCACTAAATTGAAAAAGGTCAGAGGCACGCTCGGCCAGATCATCAGCTACCGAAGCAAAGTATCCCTCAACACCTCCAAGGATAATCCAAGCCTATATCCTCCCGATAATGGATTACGGGGTGTTGCAGCTCTTGCCCAAGTACTCCCTCTCGAACCTAGAGCGCATCGAGAGGCAATATCGGATGGCGCTCAAGTGCGCGGGACAGATGCCCCGCTGCCTGGACACCGACCTGCTCTGGGAGATGCTGGACTTTGAGGCGTGGCACCTTAGAGCCCACGATCACCACGCGAGTATGCTGAAGCAGATAGCGGCACTGGAAGTGCAAGATGTTTAACAGCCGGGTACACCACACACGGCTCATGGCCAATTCAACCCGGCGCTCGAGTGTACGAGACTGGGTGAAATCAACTGTAGAGCACGTTCCACACCTAGGAGATACGCCAAGGACAGCCACGTAAACGACCTCCCTCCGAAGTCCTTGCTCCTCCTTAGCGCAAGACAGAGACGAGAGCGAAATTAACTCACAATTACTGTAACCCCCACCTCTCCAACACCCCATCCCATCCTGCCACAAAAATCCCTGTACACTAACCCACCTTCCCACCGCACCTCCCCTTAGCCAGTAAGTAGATTGTAAGCTAGTTTGTAAAATAGTACGTAAGTTATTTATTCGATTAATAATATAGTCAGTGTGCCTGCGTGCACACGCTCATGCGGACACTGCACACCAATCTATAAAATAAATAAATAGTTTACTCTACACTATACAATTCCCTCGCGGGATACACATAGCGTAAGTAGCTGACTCACCCACTGCGGCCCCACACAGTAGGGGCGCAGGGACTATATGTAACACACTTTGGGAGCAATAAAGAACTATCCTATCCTATCCTAGAATCCGGCAACATATTCTATCACCGGGAGGGCGACCATTTGTCCGGTGTCGGATTAATCATCCACAAGTATCTCGTTAAAACGTTGTAAAATTGGGAGTGTGTCGACGAGGGTTGCGTATCTTATTTTTTATTATGTGCGAGCAGCTATGCAGATCTAGGGAAACAGATCAGTATCACTGCAACCTAAAATATTCATTGTGATCGCTGCTACGTCTATAGTTCACTGCTAACCCCTATATGTCTTCAATGAATAGAAGAAGAAGTTAGTGAGAGTAGAGAGTAGACTTAGACGTTTCTTCCGTTATAGAACAGAACAGACACATCCTTGAGGTGCTTAGTCACAGGATGGACATGTGCTTTTTAAGACAAGAGTTTCCAGGTAAAGCTCTTGCCAGAACGCGCAATTTATTATTGTTTAATCCCAGGGCTTCTGAAGCGAATTTACGATCTAAAGTTCGGATTAGGTTTTGGAATGTTTTAAGCCTGGTGTGTCAGATCAAATCTTAAGTGGTTTATTGTGATAAAGAGTTTCAAGAGTCTAACGGGCTAGGTTTCTTGAGATTCCACAAAATGTCTTAGGTCCAAATTGTGTACTCTAAGCCCTTCCGTACAAGTTTGTCGGCAAGTTCATTGCCTACAATACATGCCTGACCCGGAACCCATCTTAAAACGACCATGTTGTTACATCCCAGGGCGTTTAAACGGTCCCCCCCGAATGGGTTCCCGCCTTGTCGTGGCGGGGGGGCTTAGAAGCGGTGGCTTGGTCACCCACGGCGAAACAAAGAGGAACCCATATGGCTGGTCCGAGGTGGAGGGCCGGCCCGAGGTGGCCACTCCGAGTGGGCTTGGGAAGCCCACTTCGGATGTGTGTTGGTGGACTGCGGTGAGAGGTGTGTCCTCCCCACCTACCGCTGCAGCCAAGGTGGAGTCGCGGAGGAAGAGGAGTGTTGGTATGGCGATGCGCCACTCGCCCTATCCTCCGCGACTCAAACGGGGCCGCACCGTTGATGCGGTGGTGATGGGGCTGCGGGGGAGAGGATTGTCGGTATTGCGAGGCGCCGCTCTCCCTATCCTCCGCAGCCGAATCTTGGTTGGCGGCGGAGCCATAGACCAGATCCGCCGCTGGGGTCGGGAAGGCTAGTACTTCTAAGTGCTCGTTTTTCCTGGCCCCATGGCCTTCGCGCATCGGACGCGGGGGCGTCTGTTGCGCAGATGTAATTGGAGGCCGTGGAGGAAGGCGTGCCATGTGTTCTGGTGCGCCTTACTTGGAAAGGAGAACGGGGAGGAATATTCCTCTCCCGATGAGGTGCTGCCATGGGGTGGCAGTCGGTGGTGGGGCCGCGGATGTGTGCGAATGCGTTCCCGTTGCCCTGCCAATATGCGACGAAGGTGGAACACCATGGGGTTTTAGTCGGTGCAAGTCCGACA